ATGGAGGTGGTGGGGTCCCTCTTGAGGGGTGAGGGGGGGATGGAGGTGATGGGGTCCCCCATCAGGGTGGGGGGGGTGGGGGTGGATGCAGTGGTGGTGGGATGGACATGGTATTCCTCCTTTGGTCATCGTCGAGAGGATGGGCTGAGGGGGACAGCTGAGTCACAGGGATGGGACAAGGGCAATGGCCAAGGGACGAGTCAAGGGGATGGTTGAGGCCAAGGGAGAGGAGCAGCCGTGGGGACGGGTTGAGGGGGACAAATGGCCAAGGGGGATAAGTTGAAGGGACAGGGACGACGGGGGCGGTTGAGTCATGGGGTCAAGTCGTTGGTGATGGCCAAGAGATGGGTTGAGGGATCAGCGATGGGACGAGTCAAGGAGGGACGAATGGCCAAGAGGGAGAAGTTGGGACTGGGTCAAGGGGGACGGCTGGATTTTGGGGACACATCAGTGGAGATGGCCAAGGGATGGGTTGAGGGAAGGACCATGGGTCAGTCAAGGGGGCACAAATGGCCACGAGGACCAGAAGGAGGGGGCTTGGACAGACATGGGGATGACCTGCGGGACTCCCGTGCCCATGCGTCCCCCCTCCCCAGGAGCCGTGCGCAGTTTTGGTTCGGCCAAAGCCCGCTATGACTTCTGTGCCCGGGACCGGACGGAGCTGACACTGCGGGAGGGTGACGTCATCCGTGTCCTCAGCAAGAAGGGCCACCCAGGCTGGTGGAAAGGAGAGATCTACGGGCGGGTATGGCCCCTTCCCCACCCCAGGGTCCCTCCCAAGCTCCTCATGCCTTCTCCCAACGTGTCCTTCTTCTCCCAGGTTGGATGGTTCCCCGCAAACTACGTGGAGGAAGATTACTCAGAGTATTGCTGACCATGGACCCCTACCCCCATCCTATCTACCACCTTGTGTCCCACCACCTGTGTGTCCCCCAGTGGCCACCACATCCCTCCCCACCCTCCCCTCCCCCCATTAATTTATGCCTCTTCCTGCCCAGGAGGGACAATAAACAAGGATGAGGACGAGCTGCAGGGTTGGATTCTGTGGGAAGGGACCCAGGCATCCGGGTGGAGGACGAGGCCACGGGGTTGTTTTTTCCAGGAAGGGGCCCAGGCGTCCGGGCGGGCAATGAGGTCAAGGTTGTGCAATCAGTGTCTCTGGGAACGGACCCAGGCGTCCAGGCAGGGGATGAGACCACGGGGTTGATATCTCTGGGAAGGGACACAGATGTCCAGGCGGGGATGAGACCACGGGGTTGATGTCTCCAGGAAGGAATCCAGGTGTCCGAGCAGGGATGAGACCACGGGGTTGATGTCTCCAGGAAGGAATCCAGGTGTCCGAGCAGGGATGAGACCATGGGGTTGATGTCTCCAGGAAGGAATCCAGGTGTCCGAGCAGGGTTGAGACCATGGGGTTGATGTCTCCAGGAAGGAATCCAGGTGTCCGAGCAGGGTTGAGACCATGGGGTTGATGTCTCCAGGAAGGAATCCAGGTGTCCGAGCAGGGTTGAGACCATGGGGTTGATGTCTCCAGGAAGGAATCCAGGTGTCCGAGCAGGGTTGAGACCATGGGGTTGATGTCTCCAGGAAGGAATCCAGGTGTCCGAGCAGGGTTGAGACCATGGGGTTGATGTCTCCAGGAGAGGACCCAGGCGTCCAGGCAGGGTTGTGACCATGGGGTTGATGTCTCCAGGAAGGAATTCAGGTATCCGAGCAGGGATGAGACCATGGGGTTGATGTCTCCAGGAGGGGACCCAGGCGTCCAGGCAGGGTTGTGACCATGGGGTTGATGTCTCCAGGAGGGGACCCAGATGTCCAGAGAGGGGCCATGGACAAGATTATAGGGTCACCTTCACTAGAAAGGGACCGAGTTGTCCAGGTGGGGATGAGGTCATGGCGTCAACATCTCCAAAAGGGACCCCGGCATCCACGTGGGGGAGCCCCATCATTGCTGTTACGTGCCACGAGCAGCCTCAGGCCTCAGCCTGCACTGGGAAGGTGGGGGAGGGGGGAATGGGGGGGGCGGGGGAAGCGGTTTTTGGGGCTGTTTGGTGGTTTTGGGGCCGTCCGGTGCCACTTCCCTTCTGCCACTGGTGCTGTGGGGCCACCACGTCCCCTGTCCTGTCTCCTGTTATGGGGGGTCCTCTCCTCGCCGCCTGCCTCTGGGGTGAGTTGTGCCCCATCTCCCCCCCGGGGGGGATTTGGGGGTGAAACGGAGGGAAATGAAAAAAGGGAAACTGAGGCAAGGATGGAAGTAGGTCGGGGCTGTAAAAGCTGCAATACAAAGCAGCCCAAAATGGCCTGAAATTGCCCCAAAATGGGGCTTCTGGAGCTGAGAGGGGGATGTCAAGCCCTGAAATGGGGGGGTTGAGCCCCTAAGTGATGGGTTTGAGCCTGGGGGGTGGAGGTTGAGCCCCCAAAATGGGGTCTTGAGCCCCTGAAAGAAGGGTTTGAGCTTGGGGGGGGGGGCGGTGAGCCCCTAAAAGGGGGTTCTGAGCTCTCATAGGGGTAGGATGAACCCCAAAAGGAGGGATTTCACCCCCCAAAAGGGGGATTTGACCCCTCCAAAGAAGGTTTTGAGCCCTGATGGGGGCATGGAGCCCAAAAAGGGGGTGTTTAGCCCCAAGAAGTGGGGGGGTTGAGCCCTGATGGGGGAAGAGTAAGCCCCAAAAGCGGGGATGGAGCCCCCAAAATTGTTTTTACCCCCAAAAGGAGATTTTGAGCACTGATAATAGGGTTTGACCCCCCAAAAGTGGGGTTTGAGCCCCATGAGGAGGTTGATCCTGGGGGGTGGGGGGTGTCACTCCTCGAGGGGTGTTCTGGGGTGCTGATGTCCCCCTGTGTTGTGTCCCCCCCCCAGTGCTGTGTCACCTCCTGAGCCACCTCCCCTGCACCGAGGGCGACGAGACGAGTGAGTGAGGGGGCATTTGGGGGGGTGCGGAGGGGTTGGGGGGCTGTGAAGAGTGGGGGGAACTGGGGGGTGAGGCTCAGACCTGGGTCCTGTCTCCACCCTTTGAGCCCCCCCACCGTGTCCCCCGCAGTGTCCTGTGGTCCCCACTTCTGCTCCGCCAACAGCTGCTGCCTTCGTCATCAGAGTATGGAACCCCGCAAGGGACCCTTGGTCTGTGGGTGCCCCCCCGGCATGGCCCCCATCCCCCAATACTCCACCACCTCCACAAACTTCACCATCACCTGCCAGGGTAAGGGGGCAAACACCCCACTTTTACCATTCCCTCCCCTTTTATCCCCTTTTTAACCCTTTATTCCCCCCTTTTTAACCCTTTACCCCCC